GTACGAAACTGTCAATTTTGCTACTCTTGCTACAGTGTTTCGAGTGTGCATATAAAATTTCTAGAGATTCCAGAATTCACCTGAGCGTTATTCTACCGCTTGCACATTCAAAAACGCGACAGTATTTTGCATATACATTGATGTTTTTGTTTGCGCGTTCATGTACACTTTGTTTCACGAGGGTTTATAGTTTTGACATAATTTGCCTTCCTTTTTTAACAAATAGAAATTGACTGAAACAAATCAATGATGTTAAAAACGTTCGTCGGTTCTTAGACCAGAAGTCATTAATTTTAATTTGGAAAAAATTGGATGTGTCATATGAATTAACGGGTCAATTCTGTGCTCATCTGTAAGCAAATCTATAAATTTCTATAGACCTATAGACACTGCAAAACACATCGATTACCAAACACTCAATTGGAAATATGTACGATTCTATATAAGATTTTTTGTAAGCTACAGGAAGTGCAGAATTACAAATTTTCTATAGGCAGCTACAGGCCTATAGAAAGTTATAGATTTGCTTACAAATGTACCCAGACCCGTAAATTATTCTACGACAACCCTTTTCAAGTTATGACGTATTACGTATTCGATGTCAAATAAAGTAACCCTCGTGAAATGAACTTTATGTGCATACATGTTTTCAGACATCCACGTCCGTGTGTGACCGCCTTTAAAGACAATTTTTTGGTATAATGTTCCGTGTGCACATTTGTGTGTGTGGTATAATGTACCAAAAGTATCGTACTTGAACATCATCAAGCCGATTCCCATCTAAAATCAATTTCAAATCAAACTTATTAAGTGTTGTCAGATGTGGATGATTAAATGAAAAAGAGAAAAATCATTAATAAAATTGATGACATTGATGATTTCCATAAGCTTTTTATCAGCTTGGGAACAAAATTTCCTTGAGTTTTCAGGCTCCTAATAGAGGTGGGAAACCTAGACTCTCCTCCTCAAAACTTACTGTAAGAATTATTTAATAAATTTTGCCTTTATACATACATTTTTTAGAATTTTCAATAATTTCCCACCATCGTTATCTTCTTCTAGGTCCTTATTCTCGGAATAGGGGAACAACGTTCCGATGAGAACGAAAGGTTTGTCTTCGTTGCCCATATTCACATTTTCATAACACACTAACAAAGACGTAGCAATTGTTGCTCATGAAAACGCTGTTCCTCTATTTTGAGAATAAGAGCCTTGGTCCTATCTCTCAATGCTTGTTCTCTTTATAAAGTTCGATAGGTTTATCTCTATCTCTATCATGTCTGTTTTTGTCATAAGAAAGTACCTATTCTGTAGCATTCTAAAGGTTTCCAGTAACGAGAAACGAATTCTGTGGGAAATTTTTGTAGACATCTTAAAGACTTCCCTAAGATGTTCACAAACGACATTCGAAACGTCTTGCTTACGTGCTCAAGGCATCTTGAAGACGTCGTATGTTACAACAAAGCCCAAAGTCTTTCAAACGTTTGCCTAAAAACGTCTTTATAACATTTTTCCAAGTCTTGAAGACATATTGACGTCTTTTTTTGATCTTCAGAAGTTCAGACGTAATGCAGACCTAAAAAAGACGTCTCCAAGACTTTTGTGTACTGTCTGGGAGCCTAAATTATATAAATTTTCGTTTCATACCTACAAAACCTAGTAACATAAATTTGTAGCTGTCAAAACAAGTATCCATATCTCAATCTCTAAATGCAAATAAATTCTACTTCCTGTGGGTGGCGGAGGATGGATGCTCGGCTAACTTCCGGGGCGGTCGCTTTGCCGCCCATTTCCCACCCAAGTCCCACCTTTTGCCCATTGTTTCAAACTATATAATGGGCGACCAAGTCCCATATTCTAATTGCTTTGCGTGCAAACGTGACATAAAGCCTCAAAAGAAAAAAATTCCACATAATTTTAGCCTCCTAAAATAATATTATTTAATGAGGAACTTATCTTGAAACAAATCAATTTTGTTTGGGTAATATTTAAAATCGCCTCTGTGATCCCATCAGCAATAAACTGCAAGTTTTTTTCAGTGATAATTAAGTATAAAATACCTATAATAGGCAGTTAACGTCTTCTCTGGCCGGGCGCGGTGCAAAATTAATAAATATCCGCCTCAGTAGTACCATTCGGTACCCGACAAGAAAATCCACAAATTTATGGAACGGCTCATTTAATTGCATATTGCACACCAACAAACGTCCGTGCCTGTAATAATCATATTAAATTTTCTGTTAGGTAATGCTGGGCTGGGTATTACTTGAGATGCAATGCTGATTGGGTATTAAAAGATTTTTATAATATGCAAATTAGATGATTAGGTACCTACTTGCATTAAATTATCCAGATGTTTAGTGTTTATGAAAAGTCCTTCCAAACTACCTACTTCCTACTTTACAAAATTCCTCTATTTTTTGTTGTTGTCCTATGTATTCAAGGTGTTCTAATCTCTAAGTTATTCTACAGAAAGTCATTTCTCTGCAAAATTTCCTGAGGGTTCTCTAAGAAGGTCTTCAATTCCTAAATTGTGAGTTATTTTTCTACAAATTTCCTGGCTCTTCTGGGAGAGGATTCAAAGATTTTAGTGGGATTTTGAATTCTGCTAACTGAAGTGGTTCTTCTATGAATTAATTTTTCACATTACTTTGCAATTTTTCTGATACCTACTTCTCTAAAAAAACTCAGATTCTGAATCTTTACATAATTTAATTCACAATCTTCCTGATATTCTTCAGATTCAAAAAAATGAAGTTGAAAATATTTGAAAAAAAAAAGATAGTACCACCCATTGTTCAATGTTCAAGTACTTATCTGACATGATACCCGGCAACAAATTATTTACATTGCATTTTAATGAAATTAAACACTTATAATGAACGTTTCGCGATGGTAATCGTACGGATAAGGCGTGCCCAGGCTTCCAATATATGGACGCGATTCGCATTCCCAGGTACCACCGACCTAACGCGATGCAAAGTACCGTGAAAAAGCGCACAAGTATTTTTCAAACAAATTCTACATCTGGCTGCGCTATTTCAGACATCTTGTTTACAAGACCACTCTTTTTTTGCACCTACATGCGTGCCACTATTTAATCGCTCTATAAAAAGCCACCTTATTAATAATTGTAGAGCTTGAGCCATTCGGAATTGCGAATTTTATTAATTTAAATTAATTAATGGCTTAAAGCCTGTTTTGGTCATCGACAGTCAAAACACATGTTCACTATCTTGTTGACCATTATTTAAAAAAAAGGGCCTTAGATGGTATCTTGGGGCATCAATCTTCCCGACTCATTAACTTCCAAACACACAATGGTACCATTAAACGTTATCAATCATTAGACAATTATGGCTTAGGAGTGTTATAAATATTATCTGCTTATCTTTTTAATTTCTTTGAAATGTCCTTATTAGTCTTGGTTGAATATTAATGCATTTTTCGTATATTTATATATAGGTAAGGCAGGATTTCTTTACATTGAATAGATCCAGAACCAGTAATAATCAATATTTAGACTGTTTTGGGTCTTTGATTCGTCTTGGAAAAATAATTCAGCAAATCAAGAAACCAGTAACAATCAAAATTTGGATTATTACAGGCCCTTCATTTGGTGAACACAATCAAGAATCCGTAATAATCAAAACTTGGACTCATATAACTGGTAGATTTTCTCTTTAAAAAATGTCCAGCAAATCAAGAACCAGTACCTAATAATCAATTTGGGTCTTTGATTGGGATTGAAAAAATAATTCAGCCAATCAAGAAACCAGTAACAATTAAAATTTGAATTATTACAGGCTCTTCATTTGCTGAATAACTTTTTTAGAGACAATCAAGAGCCAGTTGTTACAGTCTCTACACCGGTAATGATCAAAATTTCAACTCATACTGGTAGATTTTCTCTTTAGAAAATTTCCAACAAATCAGGATAACAATCCAAAATAGAGTTTCATGCATCTCTAGTTAAAATTCAGCTTTAGTATAGAGCCAGGAATAGGATTTTCATTCTTCTGTAGCTCAAATTTCAGCTCTATGAAAGGCGGGAATATGATTCTTACGCCGCTCCAGTTCAGTTTCAGCTCTGCGATTTGCAAGAGTCGAAAATGATCTCTAGCTGTTCTAGCTTGTTTATAACTCTAGAACTCAATGTCTTATACTGCTCCAGTTTAATTCATTCACGAATAAATTGAACGGTTCAAAAGACAAACTATTGGGTCTTCCAGTGTCTTGACTCAAATCCCTATTGTTAAAGATTATTAGAAGCTCCTGGAAACTTGAGACCTAAAGTTGAAAACTCAGAAAATTTTAAAATGACTCATTGCTCAAGATTCTAAAGCACTATTTAACTTACTTTTTGGCTCAATATTCAATACTATCTGACATTTACTTTAGAATAGTCTCGACGTTTGAGCTCTATTACATTACCGGCGCTTGAGACCCTTTACGACCATTTACATCAAGATTTTATAGAGACACTAAGCTTTGAAGACTCAATCATGAAAACTGTGAATGAAGATATTTTACCTAAGCTGTCACTCCCACGCCACACCATTTCAAGTGTCCTAGTTTGCCACCTAAACCGTTTCTCCTGATGATCAATTCTTCCCGATTTCCCACATTCTTCTCATCCTGTAGTGCCTTGAATCCAAAAAAGAAAACCCTCAAATTCCATGGATACTTAAAATTTTGTATACTTATCTAATTATTCTAGCTCTGTGGTGGTATAGGCATAATCCACCACAACTGTTCCCCAGAATACCAAGCCGACGAAGTGCAAAAAGCCAAAAAGTACAAGCACGGTTTCATCAGAGACCCAATAGTACTATAGGCCCCACAAACACTGTCCTAGATGTTCTGGAAATCAAGGCCAAACACAATTTCTGCGGAATGCCCATCACAGAAAACGGACTGCTGGGTGGCAAGCTTGTAGGTATGGTCACTTCCAGAGATATTGACTTTTTAGTCTACAAGCTACAACTTTAGAGAAAGTTATGACTAAGTTGGAGGATTTAGTGACTGCTGGCTCAGATGTGACTTTGAAGGAGGCCAAAACCATTTTGGAGAAGAGCAAGAAGGGCAAGTTGCCTATTGTTTGTCCTGATGGTAGTTTAATAATTGCCCTCATTGCTAGGACTGGCTTGAAAAAAAACTAAAAGCTATCCCACAGCTTCAAAGGATCAGAATAAGTAAGTAAAAACTTAATATACCTACGTTGATAAAATATTGAATTTTGTTTTATGGACAATTAATAGTTGGTGCAGCAATTGGTACAAGAGAGCACGACAAAGAAAGACTAGCTCTATTGGTTCAAGCAGGTCTTGACGTCATAGTCCTAGACTCTTCTCAAGGAAATTCAACTTATCAAGTCGACATGATTAAATACATCAAAACTAATTATCCAGATATTGAAGTTATTGCAGGCAATGGTAAGCAGGCACAGCAATTATTAGGCAAGTACTAAAAGCAGTTTTCTAGTTGTAACAAGAGAAAAAGCCAAAAACCTCATACAAGCAGGAGTAGATGGTCTGAGAGTGGGCATGGGTAGTGGCAGCATATGCATCACACAAAAAGTAATGGCTGTAGGGCGACCTCAGGCTACAGCTGTCTACAAAATATCTCAATATGCTAAACGATTTGGAGTGCCTGTTATTACTGATGGAGGAATTTCTTCTACGGGGGCTATTATCAAGGCTTTGGCTCTTGGAGCATCAACTGGTATGTTTGTTGGGGATTTATACAAGCTGGACAAGCTTCAAAATCCCAAGCAAATTGTTATAAAATGCTCTTTTGATTTTTTTTTTTGGCTCATCTACATATTTGGGGAACAAGCAAAAAAGGGTTTTCAAGCTTTTCCAAAATGAAAATACCCCACAAGTTTTATCTATTTGTCTTCCGAATATGGAGATGAAAGACAATCTGAGGCCCGAAAAAAAATTGGATTTTGATAGAAATATAATAAAGACTTTTCCAGAAATTTTTGTTCATCACTCTTAAGATTTTCCTAATTCCTTATTTAAAATCACTTTATTTTCTTCAAATTTCTACTAACTCCTCTATCCATAAGAATACTAGTGGATCCAGTACCACACTATGAGATCATATTGTAAATTATATTTCGGGTTTTTCTGTTTTTATATTTTTTGAATCTATCAATGTAAAGATGAGGTTGATTTTAGTGAAGAAGCATTTTTACAACATTCTCCCTTATTAAATTGTTCCACCTTTTGCTTCTTCTTCTTAAATTCTCTCAGCTTGTATTTTTTATTTTCTCAACTTTTTCAGTTTTGTGTTACTTTTCCATGAATTTTCTCAGCCTTTTTCGATTTTCTCAACTTAGTGCTTCTTTTCCCTAATACATTTTAAAAAACACTAATTCTTCTTACAGTTATGATGGGTTCAATGTTGGCGCCAGGCGAATATTTTTATGTAGACGGCGTCCGCCTGAAAAAGTACAGAGGAATGGGCACCATCGAAGCCATGTCCAGAAAGGATGCGGTCGGCTCCGCTATGAGCAGATACTTCCACACAGAAGGCGACCAATTGAAAGTAGCCCAAGGTGTCAGCGAAAGTATAGTGGACAAAGGATCAGTCCTCACTTATGTCCCTTATCTGATAACTGGGATTAAGCACGGGTGTCAGGATATTGGAGCTAGATCTTTGAAACAACTCAGGTACCTGATATTGTTTTTATTTTATAGTTACTGAAGACTGACTAACTTATTTACAGTAAAATGATGAACTTGGAACAACTACGTTTTTAATTGAGATCTCATTCAGCCCAACAAGAAGGAAAAGTGCGAATCTGTCCTGGTAATAGCTTGACATTCAATGAATCATCATCAAATGCATTTATCACTTTGTGTTTTTTGATGCTGTTTCGAAGCAAGTGGGTCTCAGTCTCCTAGTCTGTCACTACATTGTAGTCTTGGTACAATAAATCATCTATTTGTTTCGAAATGCAACCTGTGGCTGTCTTTGAGCCATTGGTTGCCTCCTAAAGTGGTTTCTTGAGCTGAAATTATTTCACACCATGTAAAAAGGTCCTGAAATAATATCTTATAAGAATTTGCTTAATAATTTGATGACAATTACTAACAGCTAAAGGTACTACTACAGGTTGAGATTGGTCGCTTTTCTCAAAAACATGCTCAAGCCTTAGTAGAAAGTCAAAACTAGTCCATGGTTCCAATGTTAGGATTTGGACGCTTTTTGGAAGTGTGCACTTGAGACCTGCAAACTTGTATTACACTCAACCAATTCAGATTACCTCCATATTATGCTTGACTTTTTCATCAACAGGAACTACAAAAGTCCAAGTATCCAGCAACCTTCTTTGAACAATATCTTTTGTTAATGCTGCTAATTGATTACCCACAGTAATGTAATGAGAACCTCTTACAACCAATCCAAGTCCGAAAGCGGTCTCGTTCAAAGCCTCTCCAACACCAAAAGCGTCATCGTGCAGGCAATTTCTATGAACCATCAGTTCAATATTCCTATCCTTAAGGCTGGTATCTCCTTGAGCTATGTCAACCAAAACGGCCAATTCGTTTTCAGTGTCTTTGATGGAAATTTGCGTTGTCACTGGGTAGTATAATTTCCTGCCACTGGTTCAGATAAGTTCACTTTCTAAGAAGGTCGGAAATTTCTAATTCGTTTGAGCATTTGCTTGCCATTGGAGTCCATGTAGAAAACTTGGTTGGACTTGAGGTCTGATTGGTATTTTGTCAGCACTTCAGCGCCATTCCTGTTGCTGTGGGGCAAAGGGCCAATTATCGAATCGAATTTCACGCAATCATCTATCATCTATGGCGTTAACTCTAATAATTTGACATGTATTCGTTCAAAGTTTGATGGATTTCTGCTACAAGTTCTCCTTCGTATACTTTATAGTCCACTTTTTTATTTGTTATTTTTTGTAGAGGGCCATCAGGCCTGAAGACGTAGGCCCCAGAAGAACGACTTTCGAATTTACTGTTGTCACCAACAAAGCCATTGTAATAGAAGAAGTTTTGGCTAAGGTCTATTGATACGTTTTTGATTGTGAGGCTATTTATAAGGCCCGTATTTGGGTCTATAATAAAGGCAGTGTCCTGAAATAATAATAAGTTATTCACAGAAAATGTTTCATAGTTGTTTTACCTTAACACTGTATTTATTGCCTTTTTTAGATGTAATAATGTTCTTATTAGTTTTTCTATAAACCAATACTCTATAAGATTTCCAGCCTAATGCTGGAATGCCCCTTGCAATAAAAATCAGCTCGTTCTTTACTTGACTACTTCTTCCAGGAATGTTTTTGATAAAATCAAGAATTGGAATTATTTGGGTTTTGTATTCAGTCCCTTGCAAATCATTGACCGAATACGAGTCTTCTTTGACAGGTAATCGGACTACTTTGTCCACAGGCCTACTAAGCGGATTATAAATGGTTACAACAAAACTATCGTTTGTAGTTGTTGTTGTGCATTGGCTAACATTTAACAGAGGACACGTCTTAAGTTCAATATTAACCTCAAGCAGTTTGCTTATTGCTGCATTGGTGATTATCTCACATTCATTCATGCCTCGTTGCAATTGCCTGGCATAATCATTAGCCACATGCTGTTTTTCAGTTCCTGTAATGGCATCGTGATGCTGCATCATCCCCATGGCTTCCCTCAATGCATTCAAGTCCACCATATCCTCTGGACCAAGATCAGCTAAGGCGTAGAGCTGCTTGCAAACCTAAAAAAGCAACTTTTGGTGTAACAAGAAATTGGAAATTTGGGAAATCTACTTGCAAGAAATTGTTCCCCAGTCGTTCAAATCGTTTTAAGGCAGGCCTGGATGTGAAGTATCCTGTCTAGAAAGCGTGAGGATCGGAAGCGTAAGGGAAAAAGTCGTCCTGCTTCAGAATCCAGTTGTTTTTAGTCTCATTGTGGACGGCGTTAACGTAGCAGGACGGTGTTGAGTAAATTAGATTGTATTTTGAGCCAGATAATTGACGTTGATTCACATAGCTGAAATAATTGTTTTAACGCCAAGTCAATTGCAAACTTTCAACTTACTAAATTAGTTTGTCCAGATTGACGAACCAGGCTTCAGCGTCTTGGTAGTTGAAGTCTTCGCCCATGGTAATGATGACGTTGTTTGTGGAATAAACTTGTGTAACGTTGTCTAGATAAGCAACAAATTCATCAACCTAGAAAATTATAAGATAGATAATTTTGCTAAATAAAAGAGAGGCATATATTATAATTACCCTTCTGTCGACGTTATATTCAAAGCTTTTTTTGTCATCTATAACTGGCTCGTCACCGCATAAAATAACGAAGCAAAATCCAGAAGGCAGCGCGTAGGTGTTGTACATTACGCCTGTGAATATGTCACTTGACTCTCCTACAAGAAAAAATCATTTTACTGTAATTTTGAATCAAAGGTTTAGAGTTTTGTAGAGCATTATCTTCAGTTATCAGTCATTACGATGAAAATCGTCTCTGGTGCATAATCTTCAATTTCAATACAGTGTGACTCTTATAGGCCTTGCCTTATTAAAGTGTCAACATTCTCATGACTAAGAACTTTGATTCAAAAAAACTCCACACAATCTTGAGTCTTGATCATTTTAGAATCTTGTAGCAAGAAATTTTGAGGCAAGAGTCTTTAGAATTTATAGTTGATCTAACTTTTTTGGAAATAATCAAGAGCCGATGACTGTTTTGGGTCTTTAAAAAATAATTCAGCAAATCAAGAAACCAGTCACAATCAAAATTCGAATTATTACAGGCTCTTCATTTGCTGAACAACTTTTTTAGAGACAATTAAGAGCCCGTAATGATCAAAATTTTAATTCATACTGGCAGGTTTTCTCTTTAGAAAATTTCCAGCAATTCAGGAACCAGTAATAATCAATTTGAGTCTTTGATTTGGCTTGGAAAAATAATTCAGCAAATCAAGAAACCGGTAACAATCAATATTTGAATTATTTCAGGCTCTTAATTTGCTGAACAATATTTTTAAAGACATTCAAGAGCGGGTAATGAACAAAATTTCAACTCATACTGGTGGGTTTTCTCTTTAGAAAATTTCCAGCAATTCAGGAACCAGTAATAATCAATTTGAGTCTTTGATTTGGCTTGGAAAAATAATTCAGCAAATCAAGAAACCGGTAACAATCAATATTTGAATTATTTCAGGCTCTTAATTTGCTGAACAATATTTTTAAAGACATTCAAGAGCGGGTAATGAACAAAATTTCAACTACTGGTGGGTTTTCTCTTTAGAAAATTTCCAGCAATTCAGGAACCAGTAATAATCAATTTGAGTCTTTGATTGGTCTTGGAAAAATAATTCAGCAAATCAAGAAACCCAGTAACAATAACAATCAATATTTGAATTATTACAGGCTCTTAAGACAATCAAGAGCCGGTAATGATCAAACATTTTTACTCATAACTGGTAGATTTGCTCCTTAAAAAATATCCAGCAAATCAAGAATCAAGACAAATTTCAATCTCCCAAAGCTCCAAATTTCCAAACTTAATCAAAAGCAAAAGTTATCTTATCTTATTTCTGACTCGATTATGTAGATACCGTCCTATTTTGTTCAAACTGGCCCATCAGACCTACAACACACACGAGCTAATTTCGTAATCACCTGCTGTCATTTCGAACAAAAAGATATTGGTCAACGAATCAATCCACCTGCAATTTTTTTTTTCTGTCGGTTCAATTTGAATGAACATTATAATCCAGCTGCATAGTTTGTCACTTTTGGTGAGTGAATTAATTAAAATATAAAAAGTTGACAATTAACGAATTTACAGTAAGTTATTGTTTGTGTGTGCTACATACTTCAATTGCATTTATGAAATTATGATTGAAAAGTACCTACATTATTAAAATTGCTATATGTCGAACCTCTCCACAATAGGGGCTGATTATTTATTTCTTTTCTTCTAGAGAAAGAAAGTTGAATTGCATTCAATGGGGCCTAAAACTTCAAAACTTCATGATTCTTCTGAGATGATCAGAAACATTGGGCCAAATGAAAAGCATCCTGGAATCAAAAACACAGGGTCGGCGCAAGCGAGTCTGGCGCCCTAGACAAATGTACTGTCTGCCGCCCCCATCAAGTGAAAATAAAAATATGCATGGCTATTTTTAAAAACATGTAATTAATGATTGTACATAATATATTTACCTGACTTAAAGAATATAGATTATAGAATATCAACATAAAAAAAATATATAGGTACACACATTCCACACATGCCCGCTGCAAGCGCCGGCGGAGGCGAAAAAATCCTGTTCTGGTGCCACGACCAAAACGTTAATTTTGTGCCAAAAATATTCATAATATAAAATAAGTAGTTTTTGCCGCACGCCACCCGGTCGCGATTTTACTAAATATATACTATTACAGCACAAGACACGCCTCCAACTTCGTCATTGCAAAATATAATCGGCCTCAACGCGATTTTACTAAATATAAACTATTAGAGCACAAGAGACGTTAGCATTGCAAAATATAATCGAGCTCAGCACAATCCTGCAAAATCTAATCGTTGACAGCACAACGTATGGCTGATTCATATAAATGAGGCGCCCACTTTGAATTCTCTTTCCTCCCATTTTAACATTTTGTATCTTCCTTCTACTGCGAGCAGTCGGCTGAACTTTTATTAGTTTTCCTTTATTTTATTTATTTATTTATTATTAAAGCTGTTGTGATGGCACATGTAAAGGAAAAGCGCCTGCCGCCTAATATTAGGATACTGCCTAATATTGCATACCTACCTATTTTAATAACGTGACTGTATATATCCTATTCACAATCCGGAGTCCACAGATACAGGTTAATTTATCACCTTTCCCTATCAAATAGCATTGAAAGGTGATAAATTTACCTGTACCTGTGGACATCGGATTGTGAATGGATAATAATATTATCCATTGCTTCCCTAGTAACCAGAAACGTTACACCTTAAAACCACAGTAACCACACTAATAAGTTTGCAGAGTTCTATAATATCGAGTGTGTGTTTGAAAATTATTTGCTCCCTAGTTTAGGTGCTGAATTATTAGTTTAAAGGGAAAATTTTAAAATATTTCTCAATGGGATCACTAACATTAATAATTACCTTCTAACAACAAGTACAATTTGAGGTTAGATCCGCCACGTCATGCTACAAACGATTAGATTTTGCAGGAATGTGCTGAGCGCGATTATATTTTGCAATTACGTCAAGGGCTAGCGTCTCTTGTACTCTAAGGCAGGCCGCACATCAAAGAAACATGAAACGTGAAACATCAAACATGAAACGTAAAACATGAAACAATAAATTACGAAAAGCGAAACCGTTTCTTTCGTGCATACTAATTGAAGAAACAAAAATAATTCTTGTTTCTTGTTGCAAATATAATTAATATATTTGCAAAGTCGTTTCAGGGTAGTGAAGTGTGAAGTAGAGTGTAGTACACAATGGAAAGTGAGGACGAGGTTGTTGTTGCTGTTGTGGCGTCTCTTTTATTATCATCAAAAAGCAAAAAAAAAGGAAACGACGTTATTGGGTACATCCATACAATAATATAAATCATAAACATAGCATATATTTGGTTGCAAAGGAATTAAACAATTATCCTGCCAAATTTCAATCGTTTTATAGAAAGAGTAGATATACAAACATTCACAAAATTATTACCTATGAAGAGAAACAGTGAAACTGAAAAAAAAAAATAGAGAAAGAAAGAAAGAATTTGCTTTATTGTCAGAAAATTTTACAATTTTGTGGACAAAGCTGAAAAAATAAAAAACAAAACATACAAATGCAAAAGCACAGACAAAACCAAACACTTGAACAAATAGTTCATGGTCAAAATTTGATTAAAACTAATAAACAAACATCTAGGTCTAACTGCTTATACTGTGCGAGTAAGCATATTATAGGTACTAAAAGAACAAACAAACAATAACTTATAATAACCTATCATGATACAGGAACAAAAACAAAACCTGTGAGTAAGCTGCTCAAAATTTAGAATTAGAAAACCATAAACAACTCGCTTACTGTGTACAAGGCTCTCCCCAGCAAATACACCCTCAACGCCCTGCGAAATTCGAGAAAATATGCAATGGACCTGATGTTAGGCGGTAGATGATTATGCATCTTTTTAGCATTATAAAGTATTGAACTTTTAACTAACTCTGAGCGCGGGATTGGCAGATAAAGACCCAACTCTGCGTTCCTCAGTGGATAATTGTGAGATGGCCTCTCTGAGATAGCTGATATTAGGTGCTTACGAATTAAGCAGACGGATTCGAAAATAAATAAAGATGGAAGAGTCAATATACTAGACTTGATAAAAAATTCCCGGCAGTGAGTTCTACTACCAAGTCCCAAAGAATAACGAAGAGCTCTCTTCTGCAGTCTAAAAATGCGTTCAAATTGAGACGCACAACACGTGCCCCAGAATGGAACGGCGTAACGTAAATGCGACTCAAAAAGAGCATAATATACCATCCTGCAAGTTGCCGAGTTAAGCTCCCTGGAAACAGATCTCAGTGCAAAACAGGCCGAACTTAATTTCTTTGCTAAGGCGTCGATATGCAGGTCCCACTTTAGAGATTTATCAACAACAAGCCCCAGGAATTTCACGGAATCAACGGCCTCCATGGTATTGTTATCCAGTACTACAGATTGGAGCGAAGCTCTGTAAGATAAAACTTTGGTTTTAGAGAGGTTGAGGCACAGGAGATTTGAGTCACACCATGATTTGATGGTGATTAAATCACTAGATACGGTTCTATGGAGTTCCGTAATATCCGGGTTGCTCCAAGTGAAACTAGTATCGTCTGCGAAGAGACAAACTTTGCCGCTAATATCCAGACTAGCAATGTCGTTAATAAATAGCAGGAACAAAATAGGGCCAAGAACTGAACCCTGAGGCACACCACATTCAATTGGTTTACAAGAGGACATGGTCGAATCCACCCTCACAAGCTGACTTCTGTTACCAAGATAAGACTTAAACCATTCCTCTGAAACCGTAGAACTGTAATTTGTTAATTAAGATATTATGATTAACACAGTCGAAAGCTTTGGAGAAATCACAGAAAATTGAGGCTGTAGAGTGGTGGCAGTTCAGGCTGGAGTATACATTATTGAAAAGGGAAAACATTGCATCATTAGTACATTTGTTACTTAGGAAACCGAATTGACTGGTAGTTAGAATATTATATTTAGAGAGAAATGATAGAAGCCTCTTTTTAACCAATCTTTCTATGATCTTTGATAGCGTAGGAAGGAGTGCAATGGGGCGATAGTTTGAAGGTAGCTCCTTATCACCTCCCTTTTGCAGTGGGATAATTATCGCCATCTTAAGACAGTTTGGAAAAG